ATTTGCCCTTTCATGTTGCGTTTTGTCATTCCTATTTTATTTTAAAAAAAATTTAAAAGCTTAAAGTCTGTAGGGTCTGGACAATTTAAGTCTGTCGTCGTTTAAAGGGATAAGAATGTGCACAAACACGGATGCGCCAAGCAGGTATCACTTTGTGCACGAGTCAGCGCTCAGGTTTTAATAATATATATGTACAGCTCTATAGAAAAACTCAGAATTTGTGAGGCTTTTTCACGGCCATTTCCGCATATGCGTATTCTAGTATTCTAGTTCGTGCACACGCGCTAAAATTCGGCAAGGTCATGGTCACGTTCTGTTGCTTGATAAAATGGCGTCGCCAACCAGCAAACGACTATACCAAAATCCGTCTGTGAAAATATTCCGCAATGTATAAAAGTTTGCTGAATTTATACCAGAGAAATAAAATCAAGCTTCAGATTTTATTTTGAGACGCGTTTCTTGTTAATCATAAATGACATTTAGGAGAAATTAGGGTGTAAAATGTCTGTGTACATTAAATTTCCGAATGTAAAAAAGGGTATTTTAAACACAAACATTTGAAATGTTCTCCAGTTTTTCACACATGGTGCACATCTTGATAATTGAAAGAGTTTTGAAAAAGGTTACCGTATTATGTTTAAGCTGTTGCGAATTGTCCTTTGTTAGTTTGATCAGTTTCAATTTTGGCTATCTGTCAACCGGTCGGCCATGATTTATGTGTGCACTTGTGCATGTTTACGTACTTGTACTGTACTAGACCTGAGATCAAGTCGTTAGTCGGTCGTGTTTGTCATCAGTACACTGCGTCATTTTACAATTCGTCTGGAGCCCATTCATTGTTGCCCGCGATCCAGCATGCCACACCGATTCTGCCCTTGCTCGTGTGCTGTTCAGTACTGGAATTCAGCGCACGTCCGCCCACGACCCCAGTGCCAGCCTGATCAACCTGATGCTGGATAGATATCCATGTAGGCCTATGCAACAACCGAACTGCATGATTCATATAAATTATTTCCATGTAGAGCGCCAATAGTAGCTGGCGCTATTTATTTATAGGGATGTCTACAATTGATCAGTGTCAGTTTCTTTCACATATTGCATTATTACCTCTTAGAGACGCTTAGAGACAAAGTATACATAACTATTAAAGAACAAACCTATTAACTATTAATCTTTTGGGGTAAGAAAATAATTTTTATGGCAAATCATCTTTTGGGTTTTGAAAATGCTTTCATCCTCTTCAATGAATGAGACCTTGGTTGTTTATAATAAGCATTCAATTGACCAATTAATCTGGCCCTGAAATAAATATTCATATTATCGGGATTTTTTAGCCACTCAGAGTGCTCCGTCCAATTTTGGTTGCAAGCCCATATTTCGTGCATAAAAGGCCTTGCAAATTGTTCAAGTCAGCAATTGGGCATCGTCGGACACGCATATTGGGTAGCTGGGTTACACTGGCCGCGTGTTATTAAATTGCTCGCCGAACCGCACTGCGTGCGCATCGCGAGAAAGGTGGACTACACCCAGCCAATTACCGACTTGATTTCAAGTCTACTACGGTACAAGTAATCCATAAACGCACGTAAATGTATACACGCACTACTACGGACTAATGATTGTCGTGCAATATATTCAATTTGCAATCACTTGAAAATAGTACCCATGTCTTTATCGGGTCTTAATACACATAACACTTTCTTTTGTTTACTGGAATAAACTGGAGAAGTTTCTTTTCAAATGGGAAAGACTGTGGACGTATTTTCTTTCAAATCTGATCGTGTGTACTTTTTATAAAAATCACTTTTACAGAATTCATTTCAAAGTTTGTGCAACTGGGTTCTTACATTGAGTTGATTGTTAATTATTAGGTTATCTCCGTGAACTGTATTTGTTATTATTTTGTTTAAAATAAGTTGTCGGAAAAATTGTCGGAACGATGTCCGACATCATCAGCCTCGAAATCCACAATAAAGTGATAGGCTGCGTATGCGCTAACTCTCAACTAAATGGTGCACAAGGGCATGGAATTGTATACATGTATACGTGGTCGGTTAATGCTGCTGCCATAATATGACTGAATAAACTAGTCAAAGTGCACTTGTACTTGCCACTTGATTTTATAATTGATTACCATGAGTGTGTTTTTTTCTGTGTACAAAGAAATATTTTAGTGCTACAAAACGCCATACCTCATTCGAGTCTGTGTCAAGACATTGGGTATGTTTGTGCGTGCAAGCATGTATGGGTACAGTGTCCCTACTCAAGGAAAATTCTCCACCGCGCCGAGGCGCTTAAACGGTGCCCCTAGAAATTCTTTCGAAAAGAGGGGTCTGTTTGGGCCAAGAAATTGTGGGATTGTGTAAGTATGGTCCAGAATCATCTCTGTAGATTCAGAGGCACCATCTGGGGGCAAAGCAGATAAAGGAGAGACTGAGAAAGGTGAGGACGTCATTTGAGAAATGGCTGCTGCAGACTGCTGAAGATTTAGGAACTTTCACACTTGGGGGTTGTTTTGGGCGGATAATTTTAAAATTCATTGGTTATCCTATTAAAAATTAAAAATCAGAAGAAATCTGAAGGACCAAACAACATGTTGCTTTTGTTTGAGAGGCCTTGGGGACTTCAGTTGCCTGACATGGGGCTCCAAACATTCATGAGTTCTACCCTATTTCCAATGGAACTTGAATTGGTACAGTGCACCCATTTGTACTGCATCGGTTGCAGTATGTGTACGGTACCGCACGGTCTGGGGGGGGCGGAAGGGGTTTCGCGTGATGTGTGCACAACGGTCTGTAAGCCTATTCCATTCATTTAAAGGGGGTGTTCATAAGGAACTGTTTCATTTAAAGTTACAATCTCCAGCGTTTCCATTATCTACAAGGATTATTGAAGAACTTGTTCTATTTTCAGCATGTACACCAGCCGTTTGTTTCATGGAGATTCTAGAAAAGAATTCCCATTTCAACTTCTCGACCCAGCTGTGGATCCTGCATCCAAACACGTTTATAATGCAGACGCTGCACTGTGATATCCTCAAATTAACACCCTTAAATTCCATGCATAACAACGATTTAATTTGTAAAACTCCCACCTTCAACATCGAGTTTTTTCCCTGAAATATAAACGCAAAGGCCTCACCTTCCGACTGTAGCCGTTTAAAGGAAATCCTTCCCTACAACATGACTTTTTTCCACAACGTCATACAAAACGAGTGTGACGTCCCATTCAAATTTTGTCCATTGCTTTTGGTTACGCGTACAGTCAAAAATTCTTCACGTTCGATCAAAACTCAATGTGCGTAGAGATGCATCACGCACAACCGGCTTCGCACACAAATGCGTATGCGGGCAACGCGTTGGCAGGTTGACAGGGCACAGTCAACAAGGAATTGCAGGTAAATAAAATATCTCTCCCGAAGACAATTTTCATCGCAAAAATTAACTTTTCTGATACATGTGAAAGTCCCATATAAAAATATGTTATACGGGTTTGAAAACTCCGAATCAAAGTTGAAATTAATAAATTATCAATAAAAATTATTGCCAGCTGTTCGTGGATCGTGGTCCATCTTCACACAGCTAAGAAACAAAGGATGTGCACGCCATCACTACACAGTACTGAATGAGAAGAGATAGAACGTAGGGGGCGCTTGTCGCACAATACCCTTCTGTCCCCATTGGCTTGGTCTGGTCCGTACCATGGATTTTGACCGTCGTTACGTTGATGTTTAGGCGAAATTATATTACATGTACCTGTACATTTTCAGCACTGTGTTTGTACAAGTCTCCACGCTATACTTTTTATAGGCAAGGTCCTCTTCGCAGGGTCGGTGAAAGGGTTTGTTTTTTTCAAGGTTGGAAACCAAAAATAGGGTCGGTCAGAAACGATCGAGGACCCTGGGCATTTAAACAGGGTAAGCCCTAAACGTAAAATAAATTGCACACATATTTCAAAAGCGCACGTATAAAGCTGCGTGGCACGTAAACAGTGGACTACATAGTCATAATTTAAATCTTAAAAAATGGTCGTATGTTGAAATCTCTCGCCATGTGGGAACCAGTATGTCGTGGCAAGATCGCACCCATGGGGACGGAGTTATCGTTCGGGTTCCTCCGGACCACATTTGCAACGTACGTAATGCGGATTTGGATTTCGTTCCATCTCATTCCATTACATTCTACAACTGCGCGCACTGAATTCCAAATTTCTGGTTCCAGAAACATGTCTAAGTTTCTCTTTGCAGGGAATGACAAGTCAGTGCTCTTGTAAGTTAATATAACTTCAGAGTGTTCTCGTGCAGGTGCAGGATTCACAGCATAACGTCGAGGAAAAAATGCAAATTACCGACTTGTCTTTCAGTAGTGGCTTTGAGTACAATTTTCCATTAGGAAATATGCCATATGCCACATCACTGAATTTCACTGTAGTGCCTTAGCCATTAGAAAGCGATACATAATTATCCTAAACAAGTGAGAAGGGAAAATTTGATTCCTTTACCGTGAAAGTAGAGGAACTCTTTCCTTGTGGTAGCACTGTAAGCTGAAAGAATTCTTAAAGTCACAGATACAACATTTTAAAAGGGATACATGTATTTCTTTCGGTCTACGTAAATGACTTGGGATCGGTTCAGCCACCTACACATTCACCCACACACACAAGCGCGTATTTTCCTGCAACTGGGGATCCCCTATTGTTCCTCTTTTGTTTGCACTTTTCACTTTTTTAGAAGACCACCCATATGTTTTGTACACAGTTGTCAATCGGGGACCTTATAATCCTCTATTGTTCAGGGTCCCCAATTGAATGCAAAAACAAACTCACACACACCCCTACAGTCCCACGTACAACATAAATGTAGTATGGATCCACTGAAGGAGCTGATCGCGGCACTCGCCCACACAGTACTCTCCCGATCACACGCGTTTCATGTCACAAAGGCAATAGGCCCGAGAAGTTTCACTCTGACAACTTAGAATTAACAGGCAATGCGTACTCACCTTTTTCCTTATTGGCTGGGCGCCCAGATGAAACTCGCAACTTCAACTACTTACAGTAGCCAATGTGCAATTGGAACTTCCAACTTTCGGTTTGACGTGGCCACTTCTGACAAAAATCTGCAGGGAGTTCAGAGCAAAAGTCGAATGCCGGCGCACAGTAAAGTAATTTACTCACTGAACGGGCGTGCAGCTTCCTGCAGTTTAGTATTGTGTACTGTATATGTATGCATCGGGTAGCGATACTTCAATGAGTTGCCTGCGGAGACCATCAGCAGGAGTGACAATGGCCATGCAGTGCAGTGCTATTCATCATCTAGAAATGTATGGTTGAGTGATTACACCCTGTTCTGTAGTATTGTACTCCAAACCTATACCACACAGTACATGTACATGTACATCCAACAGGGCATACAGTAGACCGATTGTCCCCGCTAAGTCACGTGACCCACGGGGGGTAACAAACACCAGCAAAAAACGGCGTCTTCAAATAGCAAAGTGTGTTAAAGGTGATATTTACCAACAAATGAAGCCAACGGTTGGTTAAGTACTAGAACACTGACATGCTCAACACTGTAGGCCTACCGAAAGCTGGCATTGTTGTATGTAAACAACATTTATGACACACTTTACTATGGACGCCGTGTTCGTTGATGTTTGAAACCCGCTAACGGTCACGTGACTTAGCTGGCGGAATTGGTCTGTGGGTGCACCCCAGAAAACACGCAGGCCCACCCCACCCCCCGTTAATGAGCTTTTTTGGCAATTCCATTTGCACGCAAAAACGATCTCGCGAGTACATGGGAGTTCGCAAGAAAAAACGAGAATACAGGAGTGTCCCTTCAACCTGTTAAGAAACCCGGTGCTTCATTTGCGGGTCGAAATGGTTTGGTGAGTAGATAGTTGACGTTTTTCTCTATCAATAAAGTTATGTTTCGGCGATGATCGACAATTTCTCAACAATTTATTTGGACGCAAACTTGCTTAGTGTTTCTCACGAAATCGCAGGCCTCTTTTTTAAGCGCACCTAACTGTTTCGCAATAACTGGATGAAATTGAGACTTACAATTCTTCACGAAAAGGATTAAACATCCGTTTAATACCAACATTTTTGCTGCTGGGCCAAGCAAAATTTTACTAGTAAAGTTTTATGCACTACTCACTCAGCGATCCCGGCAGCTAGTGTTAACATTTTTGCGTAACGAATGGTAATTCTGGTTCCCCAGTACACGACCAACATTCACTAGGTTTCCTTCAAAGCAAAGTCTGCGTTCCCGATTTTGGTCACACAAATTTACACGTATCTCTGATATCATTTGATTGGCCAGTATTAGAGAGAATATGTCAATCAACCAATCACAAATAGTCTTTCACAAACACATACGGCAGTTTTCTCGGTTAATCTCACGAAGTCTAAACCTGCGATAACGAAATATTTTGGGTGCACTTGACTGTTTTGCACCGACTTGAAAAGTAAAAACTTATTGTTTGGCCGGATATATGACATAGGCCTATCTATCTTTCTGCTATCAAGAAGATTCTGCCGGCCCAGATTTGGATCCACTAAAACCATTTTTGTACCCTCATTTATACACACGAAAGCCTACGTTTCACGGCTAATATTCTTCAAAAGTGACTGCGAATATTTGTATTTTTTACAAAGGACATGACACTGATATTTTAACTGTGCATTTATGTAAAGATATTCCATTCTTAAAGGTAACACATGGTGGTACACAATTTTGAAAAGTCCACTACACAGCTCATTACATTTGCACGATTCAGACAGCCGTGCATACGTAGCAAATGAAAGGAGCAGCTTTTACGGGTGCTATCCGCTAACTGACCCCTGCAAATAAATTCCCATTGACACCAATGATATTACTTTATATTTCAAAATTATTTTAAAAACTCAGAGCCCTCAAGGGTGTCCAGGCTGGACAGAAAAATCATGTTTGTCATGTCCTCTTTCATTCTCGTTTCAATTTTTAGTGGGTCAACTGATGAATCGGAGACAAATTCTCACCGAAAGCAGACCACCCCTAAAACAAGGAAATTTCAGTGCCCAGAAAAGAAGCCATTTGGAAATTGCATCCCTTGCAAAACGGCTAAATCGTGCCACTTTCGGACTCGACCGCATCCAAACTGCTCAGACTTGCAAGCCCCGAGTTCGGGCTGCGAATTATTTTGTTTTTTCGTAGGTGAGTCCAAACATGAACTATTCATGATTTACTCATGAGAGCTACTGTTCAGCTCATGACACGTGTACGTAGATGTACATGTACGCTGTGGAGTCTGTGCATAACCGCGATTCGATCCCGCCGCCCATAGTGTGGGTCATCATTTCTGCTTGTGCGATCGTGCTGAACGCAAAAAGCTGAGAGCCAGTATTATTCTTGTCAGAATATGTGAAATGCTGAACATTTTGTTTTGCATTTCTTTGCCAGTATTAAACTTAAGCAATGTTTTATTCGCATTGCAGTACAATATAAATGGGCTATATACATGTACATGTACACATGACGTGTGTGAATGAACCGTGTACATGTTCGACATGAAAACCAACACGCTACAGGAAGGAACACGCAAATAGACTCCATCCCGCTCCCAAACCAGTTGCATCCAATGAAGCACTTCCTGTTTTATTTAGTTCAGCATCTTACCATTTAATAAGCTGTTGTCAAGGATCGACTTAAAATGCACGTAGGCTCTCCTTGTCAGATCTGAATATTCCAATATGCATAGCTGTTCAAATTCCTTTCTTGTATGTGTGATGTTTTGAGTGCTAAAAAAATTGGATTTAATTTTCTGCACAGGATCGAACTTGATCCAACCATCAATCAAACAAAATACAGTGCGCATAAACTATTCAGAAACTGATGAGGGCACCAAGTTTCTGGGATAATTGAGTTGAATTGAACAGATGGAGAGATCTTGGACTTGATTTTAGATAAAAATTGGGAAAAAGAAATATAACTTTATGTGTACCACATTTAATAAATCGTGGACTCTAGTCGACTTCAAAGGACAGTACACAATTTTGCAGCTATCTAAATGTAACCAACAAAGTCATCGTTACAACTTTATTATATTCTATCCCTCAGCATACAAAGCATTAAAAACTCAAGTACTGAACACGCACAACTAACGAATTATGAACCCTTTAACTAAAAACAAAATAAAGTGAAATAGAACCTCGGAGTATAAATGGTTGAATTGTTGTGTACAGGATATACAATTTTCCTTTAAGAATCATAAAGAGCACTTCCTTATTAAAGTGGCAATCACCAAACATATGCAAAGCACTTATTCTTTCAGAGAAAAACCCTTTCAAGAAGATGAATTTATCCAACTTCAAGTAACCTGTTACCTGTAATCAGTCAGCAGTCGCTTGGCCCCCAAACTATAGTTTTTGTACACTGTCTACTCTTTTTTATGTGAAGAACTATACAGGGGTAGGAAGTGTAAAAGAAAACTTCACATTATTGTCTCCTTGCCAATACTGACAGTGAGAACAGTAAAGAACCAAACTTTGAGGAATGACTGAGAACCTAGAATCTTTTTGCTTTAAAGTGTAGCAGAAATGAAGTTTTCTTATACATGTACTCCATTTTTCTTCAATTGGATACTCTTTTCCAATGTATGAAAATTATTTCACATCCCTTTGTGCTAAATGCACTGAAAAGTGAAAAAATGAAAACATTAAAAATTACCCATGCTTTGCTGGAAAACTGAAGGAGCTGTTGTTATGTCATGTAGGGAAGACATGTTCCAGTGCATAGGTTTTCCTGTTCAAATTTTGACCCCAAAGTTGACGCAATGAAAGTATTTCTGAGGAAAACTATGTTTGCTTATTGCTATACTTAACAATGAGTCACCCGAGAAAAAATTTAAGGCCAGTAAAATCTGGAAAATTCTACAGTTTTTTTGTGTAAAACTCGATGCCACATTGAGATACTCTTCCTGGGATGACATCACAATTTTGCTTATGAATATGGAAATACTCAGTAGCATAGAAATGAAAAACGCAGCAAAATGCCCTGATAAAAATAAAATTGACACAAGGTTCAGTGAGATTTAAAGGTGCATTTTGGAAGTTCATATTTTAAAAGTTGCATTGCAGTTACCCTTAAAAATAATCTGGAAAATAATAAATCCATATATCCTTCATTCCAATGCTGTAACGAGAGTAGGAGTCATTCATATAATAAAAAAATTAATCAAAGAAAAGGTTGCCACTGTTATTGAAAAGGTGTTAAAATTGTGAAATTTGCAAATACTGGCTCAACTTGATACGCATAACACAGTTCAATATCTCACAGTGAAATGTTTAATCAATGATATTTTCCAATAAATAACTGAGATGGAGAGAGGGACGAAAAGTTTTCGTTCGGGGAGAGCTCCTCGCTTCACGCTGTTTGTGTTTGCTCTCTTTTTAGTACAGCCATGTTCTATTTGCCTGGATGATTTTGGAAGCCAACCTGTGATCACAGCTCGGCGCCCTCCAAGGGGAATCTTACGTCTTGTCACAGTGGTTGGCTGTACCCGATTTCCTTGATGTTTGAAGACTTTTTTTTGCCCTTTTATTTATTTGTCTCGCAGCAGAGGGAGTGCTATACTTGAATGTGAGCAAGGCAGAAATAAGGGCACTATCTGAAGCAATCTTTTAAAACCTTGACACAAAGGTCTTAATTGAAAGTCTCTACACATCCGGATCATCATTCAGTTTCTAGGACCTGTTACTTGTACCAGTTGTGGTGAATTGACTGACCTGTTTATCCGTGTGGACAGTGATACCATGTCGTGGCCTTGTCATGGGAGGTAGGATGTATTCATCCCCTTCCCTTCGGGCCTCTGCACTGGTTATCGATCTGCTGGCATCCTTTGCCTTTGCCTGCATGTCTGGGTCCTTCTCTTCCCTGGCATCAAGTATCCCGTCAACCTCCGACTTTGGGATACGGGACAAAGAGTCGGCATTTGCGTTGGACTTGCCTGGCCTGTAGATGATGTCAACGTCGAAGACAGCAAGATCACACACCCAACGCTGGCTAGTTGCATCCAGTTTTGCCTTGTTCAGTACATTGGTCAGTGGATTATTATCGGTCATCGTCGTCAGTCGGTTTTCATTGCTTGTCACCGCCAAGTCGAGCGCTTTGGATTCGAGTTTGTGAGCAGGGTATCTTGCTTCTGCTGCCGTTAAGGTACGGCTCACGAAGGCGATGACCCTTTCTGTGCCACCCTGTTCTTGGGTCAAAACAGCCCCGAGACC